GTGATGATGATAGTGTTAATGATGGTGATTATGATGATGGTGATGGGGATTATGTGCAGGTGGTGGATCTGCTGGTGGCCATGTGTAGAGCCGCTCTCGAGTCGCCCCGCAAGAGCATCATCTTTGAGCCGTACCCGTCTGTGGTGGATCCCAATGATCCCAAAACACTCGCCTTCAACCCCAAGGTGAAGAATCCACTAAAACAATACTCGACATGAAGATACAGCAAAACACAGACACTTTAGCAAAACGTTGTGAAGAAGAAAGTATTTATTTACAGAGGCTAAAATACAAAAACATTTCCAGTATTTTCCATATATCAAGTCTTGTTTGCCGATACAAAATTATCACAGTTGAGTTAGTTTATATCAGGACTATTATTGTTAAAATAAACTCAAACTATTAAATTAAAACTAATTTTTTTACATGATGGAATACAATAAATTATAATATAATAAAACAAATATTTATTAATTTTACTAATGTCATTTAAGATGGGTCTATTTTTTATTTACTTTTACTTGATATGTTCAAATGTTGCTTTTAAATTAAATGTATATTTGAATGTTTAGATATGATTTGGAAAATATATCATTTACTTTATTTAAATAACTGAATTCCAAGACAAAATGATGAGTAAGGAGATTTTTATTGCAGTGTATTACAATTTAAATAGACTTCAACTTTAACCAGCATCAAATCTCTCTTCCTTGTCTGTGTGTCTGTGTGTTTGTGTGCGATTATTGTACTGATCCTGTGGCGAACAGAAGAAGAATTATGAACGTCTGCAGAAAGCGCTAGACAGTGTGATGTCTATTCGGGAAATGACACAGGTATGATGCCATAATATAATATAATATAATATAATGTAATGTAATGTAATGTAATGTAATGTAATGTAATGTAATGTAATATAATATAATATGTAAAATATAATATTAAAATGAACTGTATATAACTAACTATACAGCTATATATATATATATATATATATATATATATATATATATATATATATACTGTATACATATATATATTTCTTTTTCTTATATATATATATATATTTATATTTATATTTATTTATATTTTATTTTTTTAATATATATATATATATATATATATTTTTTTTAATATATATATACATACATATATAAAATATATACTGAAATATATATGTATTCTTCATACATAAATATATAAAAAAATATATATATATATATATATATATATATATATATAT